ATGATGCAGCAGTTTTTTGCTATGTCCAGCTTCTTGGGAATTTCTAGGGAAAACACTCTAAAACCTAGATAAAACCTAGCACAAGTCCTGCAAGAGGTGGAGAGGTAGGGAGGTGCAACCCTTCAGAAATTACCTTCTTTTCATCTTGTAGAGATACTCTATGGAATTTGAAAGGACTGAAGTCTGTATTCAATAGGGCTGCCCAGGTAATAAACCAAATGATTCTTCTGTGAGTTACTTCTTTTGAGCTCTCTTCCCAAGACAGTGCTCTGTACACAAGGGGGTTCTGTAATAATTATCCCCAAGAACCCAGGGGAATAAATGGTGATTGTCTGAACAAAGAAATAGATCCTTGTGCCATCATTTCCAAAACTGACAGGAAGCCTTACTTGAAATAGAGGAGTTTTTAGTTATCATATTCTTCTAGCACTACAAGATTGAAGATAAACACAGGATTGCACAGACTTCTTTGCCCTGCGGCTTATAAGAGCTACCTGTCTCATAACTGGTAAAATAAACAGTTGTGGTACTCCTGGGTTCCTTTCCTGAGCTGCAGAGAAGGGACAGCAGATGTTCTGTGAAATGAAGTCCTTCGTGATTATGGGATTGCTCAAAGGGCCATAATATCTACCCACCCCCAAGAGAAAGAGTCAGACAAGCAAGCTGGAATACTATACCTATTTCCCATCAGCACAAATGGATATCATAAAACTGTTAGTAAACCATGCCAAATGGAGCTAAAGAACTAGATGCAAAACTGAGAGAAGGAACTGATACCTGTGACGTGACGGTCTGAAAGATCATATATAGAGAACCAAGGAGAAAAACTGTTCCATTTGACAAAGACCCACCTTCACCACCCAGCATTTTTGCCAAGCTAGAGGGTGTCAGGAAGAATGAAAATGATGAAAAAGCTAAAAGGCAAACTGAAATCTTGGAGACAGTACGTACTATTTGTACTATCCTAGAAGGTCTACTCAGTATCAGTTCACAACATTCTACTCCTTCACAATTATGTACTAACTTTTACACTCAAGTACAGAAAAATAATTCATCTCATCATTTACTTGCTGAATTAAAGATTCTAAATTTCTTTTTCGTGCCTGGGACCAAGGCACCAAATATAAACCCTCTGTCTACAGTTCAGGCTCTAAATATAGCCAAGAATTAAGATATTCCTGCTTCTGCAACCTAAACAATCTAATGGAATCAATTACTGTTTTGCATAGATGACACCTGGTATTTACCAATAAAACATGAAACATGAAATCTAACCAAAATAAGCATGAGACTGAAGTTTCCAGCCATCCTACTTCATCCTCAGTAAACATATTATAGCTTTGCATCACAGGGTGGATTTTTCACATTTCTTATAGACTTCAGCTTAGAAGCTGTCTGAGAGAATGTAAAGCAAACAGAAGAACAGTGCTGATAACTTTGACTTCAGCGAGTGGTTATGCCAATGGAGTGAACATGTGCATTCACTGAGAACACTGTCCCATTGCTTGGATTTTCAGCCTCATGCTTTTATTGATCAGTGCACCAGTCATGCCAAGTGAAATCAACATTTGCATTGTGAGATACAGCAAGGTTTAGGGGGAACACCAATGTCAACTGTGGAAAGGACAGAATCTGAAATGGAGTAAATACAACTTATTCCCACTGTGCCAGTAAGATCTTTCCTCATTATGCTTGGAAGCTAAGGATAGTCCTAGTATACAGTATCCATGTTTACAACTAGTTTCAAAATATACTCCACTGCAGCACTTTTCTGGCATTATAATTAATGCTTTATCATACATACTATACTAGAGGTAGAATGCAAACTCTCCTTGGATGTATATACAGGATTTGGGGGAGTTGCTCAAATCTTAGGAAAAAAATTCTGTACTGTGAGAGTAATGAGGCACTGGAATAGGTTGCCCAGAGAAGTTCTGGATGACCTATCGCTGATGTTGTTCAAGACTAAGTTGAATGGGCATTGAGCAACCTGGTCTAGTGAAAGGTATTCCTGTCCATGTCAGGGGGATTGGAACGAGATGATGTTTAAGATCCCTTCCAACCCAGGCCATTCTCTGATTCTCTGATTCTTTTCTTTTATATCTTTCTTTCTTTTTCAAATACAGCCTAAAGAGATAAGTATAACTGTACATGCAATCAAGGACTTCTCTCTTCCTTTTCTAAATAATGCATGGTCAGAAAGCGGATGGATTCTGTCCCTTCCCATACTCCAGAGCAGTCAGCATTGCAAAACAAGCAGTCCCACTCTAAAGACTGGCTAACCTGTGTGCTCTGAGCAGCCTTGGAGGAAACCATTTCTCCTGAAATGCTCTACAATGAAGAGTCATGTTTCCTCACAACTCTGTCCTGCCAGACTTACAAACCTCTGAAACAGCTGGCCGTGGCAGTCCATATCACAAGATGAATGCTGGAGAATTTTCAGTGGTTGAGTTGCTGGGCAAGATTGAGGATGTGAACCATTCCTGTGAAAAGCCACTTCTTACTCTGACCTTCTTTGTCGTGTGCTGTGTGTTGGGAATTGCATTTGCAGATTTTACCTTTCTGCAGCTGCACAACTCCCATCTGTTTCACTATCATGTGCTGATGGCATGAGCAAGAATGGAAGAAAGTGGTCCCCATACTCTCCTTACCTGCCTGATGTACTGTTTCTTCCCTTGCTGTAGTCCAAGTGGTCACATCTTCCCAAGGTGAACGAGACAGGGACTTGAAGCAAGTTAATTTTTTTTTCCTTTCTCCTCTGGATTAAATTTAAATCATGCCTATTCTTTTATCCAGTTCACCAAGTACTTCCTCAAATGCTACTGCAAACATAGAGAAGGGGACAGCTCAGGTGAGGGAATGAGTGACTGTGAGCTAGGCAGGAGAAAAGGGAGAGAGGTATGTATTTCAGAGGCAGGAGCATCTTGTGGTGTGTTAAACTTATTGTGAAACTACAGCAAAGTCAGCAACTGTCATCATCATGTCTGAATGGATAACTTTCATCCTGGCCCCTTTATTTATAGTGCAACAGATTCTAACCATAGTATATTTTTAATATATAGCTAAAACTGTGTAAAAAATGCTTCACTTCAGGTATGTGGGTGGAATGAATGGGCTTACAGCCCAACAAATACCTAAATATGGGTAATTTGACTCATTTCTGAAACTAATAAATTTTGTTGTGTTTTTTTGGTTATACAGATATTTCTAGAATCTCTATCTTGATTAAAAGAAACAAATGTTCTTTTGTTTCTTTGCAGTCATTGCACTTGCTGAAGCAAATATCATTCACAGGCATGACACAGCTATCTATGAAATAATTTAACTGCATCATGCAGTCAGCAGAAGTTCAGTACTGTAATTTGGAGAAAGTGACTCCGTACTGTCACTCACTCTCTGAGCTACATATTATGCTGCAACACGTTTTCCTTACTTCCAATCTGTTGTAAAAATATGGGCAGTTTTCCAATTATGTTAGAGTATCCCTTGTTAACAACACAGGTTTACATCTGATAAGAAAAAAAGGTGTGTGGGGTTTTTTGTGTGTCATTTTAATGTGTAAGAGCAGCTATAAACCATAAGAAGTAATATCAATAGCATAAGCAGGTGCACCCACCGTGGATAGTTAAATGGTTCTTCATCGTTTGATTTGACCAAACACTCCAGAAATTACTTGATTCTGCTCAGTGACAGTGTAAAGGGGAAAAGTAGTAATTTCAGCACTAAGCTGAAATAACCACCAACCTTGAGTTTTGAAGCATGAGTTCGAGTTCTGAAGCTCAGTATCCTTGCTACGTGCTGTGTGAAAGCTGTCTAGAAGGACACTATTACAGAATAAAATCTTCAGGAGTTTTAGCAACCATGTAAATGCAAACTCTCACAGCTGCTGCCTGAATGCATGTAGGTGAAGTGGCACATCCCTTGTTTGTCTGTGCATGGTGTACCCAGGTGGCAAATCAACCAAGTTTGCCTTTCCCCAGCACTCCCGGCTGTAGCAGGATGCCCTGGAGGTGTGGAGCACAGAGCATGCTGCTCACACCAGACCATTTTCTTCCCACTTCTGTTTTAAACCAGACTCCTTTCCACAGTAATCTGTTAGTACTTTTTCAAAGGCAAAAGTACTAAATTTGTTCTAATTTATGTGTTTGTACTAGCCATTACTCTGGGAAACTTATAGTTGTTGTACAAATATGTGAACCATTAGAAGGATCCTGATATCTAAACCTCCCTAAATAACATAACTTAGCAATAAATCTTTAACTTCTTTTGAAAATTAGATAATGCATGGTATACTACTTCCAGCTGCATATTTCAAGTCACCAGAAAGAAAAATATCTTGGCCTAATAAAACATAGAAAAAACTGGCAATTGGCAAGAGAAAATCTGTGACAACAAAATTGTCTCAAAGTTGGAGAAGCATTTTAGAAATACATATTTATCATTCATTTTATTTACAAAGAAGTAGCAGGTCTCTAAGTTATGACACTTATAACAATCTTGGCTCTTAACAGACAGCTATTAGTGCCTATATAATATCACTTACATTAATTTCTTTGGTCCAGCACTGACTAAAGAAGTAAAAAAGTAAAAGAGATCAGTTTCCAGCTCATGTTTAAAGTCATCCCACTGTATTTTTAGTACTATGGAAAGAGCTGTGATAGTCTTATGGTAAGGAACAACTCGGTCTTTCCCAAGTGCTACACAAGCTGTGTGCCTTGCTGTTCAAAACAGTGATAATAAACAGTCCTTTGAGCCCAGCCAAAGCGTTAAGAATAGGCGTGATTCAACAACACAGTAGTGTGTGTCACTAAAATGTGGTCTTTTGGAAGCTGCCTTTAGCACAGTAGAACTATTACTTGGCCAGCTCAGTTGATGGTCATGTGCTTTTGTTGCCATGAGCTGTAAAAATCAGCTGAATCAGAGATTGCTGTACAAATGTGAATGTCGTTTATGACGGTCTGTAGTAATTCTGTACATCTCTTATGTCTGTGTTCTTATAGCCACTTGGGCACTGAAGTAGCTGAAATGAGAAAGAGGCAGCAGTCACAAAATGAAGGAACATCAGCTGTGTCTCAAGCACCTGGAAACCAAAGGCCCAACAACACATGTTGCTTTTGTTGGTGCTGTTGCTGCAGCTGTTCATGGTATGTCCTGTAGTATATTTGGTTCCGTATCCACCACAGGTAAACAATGAGAATGGAAACTGTGAAGCACTGGGAACATGCAAACTTGTGGGAGAGGAGGCACAATTTAACTTTTTACTTAAAAATTTGATTTAAAAATTCCCTAATTTGGTTGGACATCTTCTGAGGGGGAAAAGGAAAGAATAGTAAGTTCAAGCTATATTTACGCTACTTGAGCCATAAGTGAATGAGGAAATTTCAGTTGTAAAATTCCTATATGTGATACTGAATATTTTATAGTTTGCATCAAAATATTTTTTGTCTGCTTGTACTTTTGATATTGCAGTCCTCTGCATTCAGAAGGATAAAAAGGAGATGGTCATAAATGTGAATATGTGGTATCCTGTTATACTACTTAGTTATTGAATAATACTTATTAGTTATTGAATAATACATTTTCCATAAATCTGAAAATACAAGCCTTAAATTCCACTTTAAAATGGTGTAGCACAATTTTAGTGGAAGAAAAAAAAGGCTCAAAGATTGTGGCTGCTTGTCCCTTCTTAAACAAAGAGTTCACTTGAAATGTCAAAAATTTAAAGTCAGTTTCAGAAATAGCTTTAAATTCTCAGTGTCTTGAGATGCATCAGGTCTTTATTTCTTACTTTTATGAACACAGCATTGAAATGCAAAGTTACAGACATGCAGTACTGTTCAGAGCCTGTGCATCCTATTGCCTAGACAGTTCAGTTTTTCTGGACTACTCATTCTTCTGTGTATCTGTGTTATTTTCACTTGAATCAGCCATCTGGCCCCAGTCTAAAATCTGAGGCCATTTGCCCCAGAATATTTTAAAATACATACCAGCATTTATGCACAAGGTACAAAATAGGACAGCTTTTTTCCAGGATGCCACATCCTGGAAGCAGTAGCAGGGTGTTCCTGCCTGGGCTGTTACTTCCAGTTTCGTCCAGAGGCAGAGGATATTTGGAGCAAGGATGAGAAAGAGCTCATGCTTTCACTGAGTTACTTTACAATATGTTCAATCCATATTGCAAAAGAGGTGGAAGTGTATTAAATAGGAAGTAGAGAATGTTTTGCCACTACTCTGTCTGCTGTGGGACAAGGGCACAATGTAAGATTAGTGATACTTTTACAGGCCAGAGGTTCATTTAGCTCAGTATCCTATTTCAGGAAGTGACCTTTATTGGATGCCACAAAGAAAGGATAAAACAAGTAGACATGCACGTCTTCAACCTACCCACAGCAAAACTCCTCACAACTTCTGGCACTCTGCAGCTTAGGGAATTTCTGGCCCAGAGTTCATTTCTAACCAGTGTGGTTTATAGCCCTTGATTGAACTTTCTTTCATTAATTTGTCAAACCATTTTCAGAAGTAACTTCTTGACCTCATCTAAACTTTTGGCACCTAGAATTTCCTGTAGCAATAAATTCTACAACAGGCCTGTGCACTCCATGAAGTATTACTCCCTTTTATTTGTTTTACTCTACTAGATACTACTTTCATTTGATGCCTCCTTGTTCTTATGATTGTGAACAACAGTGACTAATTGTTCCCAGGATGGTCAAGATTTTATAGAGCTCTCTCAAATCTCCCATCAGCTGTTTTTTTCTTTCATAGTCTTCTCTATTTTAATCTCTGTGATACAGAAACTGACCCAGACCATGATTTATCATTATCTGTCCTATATACCCACCTACCTCATGTCTCTCTGTATCTTTCCTATTCCCCTGTCTCCTGTCTGAAGTCTGTGACTAGATCTTGCAGTAGTCAAGGCATGGATGCACCATGTTTTGTGTTTGCTTTTGACTTTTATTACTAATTCCTAGCACTCTGCTTGCTTTTTAACAACCCCAAAGATGTTTTCATAGAACTTTCCACCTTGACTACATCTCCTTCCTGAATGGAAATAAAGCTCATCATTGTGCATGTACAGCTAGGGTTGGCTTTTGCCTTGCATACTAGAATATGAATAGCCATGAAAGTATCAGTCAAATTTCTAAAACCTAAAGACAACTGATTTTATTTTGTAAGCATGCCATAGCTCAAGAAATCTTATTTAACAATTATATTTTGAAGTTTTATGAGCTTTGTGATACATGGAGTGCCTCCACTCCTTAGAATGGAGAACAGCTTATGCATAATAAATCTAAATTAGAGCAATTGCTGATTTAAAACATGACATATATCTTCATCTGCTTTAGTAATTGTTTTTGCTGTCTTTCAGGTTTTTCAGGGTTTAAGGTTTTTTTTTTTTTTTTTGTAAAGTAGATTAAACTGAGCATGGAAAAAATCCTGTCAATTTAAGCTAGTTTCTGGAATTAAGTCAAAGAACTGGTCAAAGGGGATAGTTACATCACTTGCATTTACTAAAATCAAAAAGCTAGAAAAGGTAATACAACTTTTTCAGCTGTATCTTCTATGATTTGGCAGTGTAAACTCCATTAGAGGAGAGAAGGGACAAAACTTTGAAAAAAGCTGTATGACATGTTTTATAATCTCACTTGAGATGAAGTCATTAGTTGCAGTGCCAAATTCATTTAGTAAATTTGAACTGTGCAGGTAGAGTACAGATTACTGTTCTTGCCTCAGTTGTGTACTCTAAAAACTACAAAATGAATTAAAAAAAATGTAGCAAACTTTATTATTCTCTCATATACAGAGGATTCTATGTAGTTAATTCTCTAGGTTAGTTCTCTGTAATAGGAAATCCTAATCAACAATTGTAACAAGTTCTCTGGACCTAATGTAATTACATGATTAGTGATGAAGACAATGTTTTAACTGTCAGTATGAAGATTAGAAGAATTTTCTTCTGCTTTTCCAGCTGTGTGTGTGACTGAGGATGGCTCTTACATCACTAACCCCTTATTGCCTCAACTTCCTCACCATTCATAGAAACGTGCAGGTTTTAGTAAGAAATTTTCACTTTTTCCTGTTTGAAGAGTTAGTTCAGTAGTTCGTATATCCACACAAATCATTAGAGTTCTAAAAATATTTTTGACAGTTAAAGCTTTATCTTCATCACTATTCAATCTAGCAACAGTTCCAGACAGAAGTTCATGTTACTCAAATACTAAGACCTCTGGAACTAGAGAGAGCATGTAATTACATGTACTTTCATTGCTGAGCACAATGTCACATGCTATGGAATATCCCTTTGATAAGTTGCAGTCAGCTGTCCCAGCTGCGTCCCCTCCCAGCTTCTTGTGCACCCCCAGCCCGCTCGCTGTCAAGGCAATATGAGAAACTGAGAAAACCTTAGCGCTGTGCAAGCACAGCCCAGTAGCTGCTAAAACATTCATGTGCTACCAACTGTTTTGGACACAAATCCTAAACATAGCATCATATGGATTGCTATGAAGGAAATTAACTCCATCCCAGCCAGACCCGGTACATCTATTGGCACTGATAATTGTTAGGACAGCAAATTGCTCAGTTTACAAGGACAAAGCAAGACTGATTACCAAGGTTTGCTCAGACTGGACAAGATGGAGATAAACAGGATTATTAAGATGGCCATTTTATTTTAATAGGTTTGCTCAGGACATTGCCCAGCTAGCTTAAGTTCTGAACTTATTTCTGAGCATCAGTAGTGAAGGAAGCAGTCCTCCTCAGTGGAGAAAATAAAGTGCTTCGGAAGTTCCCAGCAGGAAAAACTTGTCCACTTACACCAGAAGCAGATAATATATCCTTGTGAAGATCTTCTATAGGACCTTCCTCTCTTCAGTGACCAAATATAGACCTTAGGCACTCACTTCAGGAAGACTGCCTCATTAAAGCAGCTAACAGTTAAGTACCAGTCAGGTAGCCAAGGTCCTGGACTGAATCTAATCCCATGTCTTAATTTTCTGCAAAACTCCATTCCAATAGAGGACAGAAGAGAGTGCTTCCTTACTAGGTATAGTTTCAAAGATTTGAGCAGCCTAAGAGTTGCAAAATTTGCAGTAAGACTCCTAACGTGACAGTTTATAATTTCCTCAATTATGCTTTCTCCAGAGAGTTGCTCCAGAGTGTATTTAGAACTGTGACTTTATAGTTTTGAGCTCAGCTTAGCAAGGTAAGAGTAGTAAGCCTGCTATTTCACCTCCCCAACCTTATTTAGCAATCCATTACTCCAGCTTCCTGAGCAGACATGAAGACAGTTGTTCTCTTGCAAACAATTGTAAATCACATTCTTCAAAAAACTCTCCAGATGCTAGCACAAGGAGGTTGGCTTTTCTGCCAAATTTATATTGTTTCCTCCTTTGTCTCCCACCCAAAGCAGGAGACATATCTTTTTATCTTTTCTTCCTTTCATAAGGTGCTCAGTGAATCTGAAAACGGTGGGACACTGATGCCAAATAATCCCTCTGCTTTTACTATACACAGAAGGCTCACAAGGGATCTAACATCTACCCTGCAAGAGACCTTAGCACTATGGCAGTCTGGGGGACATGAAAAGGCTTCCAGGGGATAAGTGAAGATGATCGCTTAACTTTCCTTGTAGCTTGATTTAAATGAGTGAGCCTTTACCTGAAAGGGAACCATTAAAACAACTGCTTAAGACTTGTGGAAGAGTTTAACATATACAGGAGATGCCAGGGAAGATAAGGTATGTGCCATCTTGGCAATGAACAAGAGTTACTCTTGGCAAGAAACCTCTCTCCTCCAGTTCTTATAACTTGTCTATGACTGCTGTGAGTTATGTCTGAAACTTCTTCCTGATGACCTCCTTACACAAATATTTTTCTTTATTAACAGGAACATTTTCCTTGCATGGGTTTAGCAATTTACTTGGGCCTACTAGAAGATGTTTCTGTCACTGGTGCCATGAATATGAGATGACAGAAACAGTTCTAAGGAAAGGTTTAAATTACATTAATTCTTTTCTCTACAATGTTATCTTACTGATAACAAACAGAGTGTGCATGGTATTCTAAATGAAAAAAAAAAAAACAACACAACCCCCCCTTTTTATTTTTGCACTTCCCACCACTCTAGTACTTTGAGAGGAATA